TGCCCCAGTCAAGGCGATGGCACCACCTAGGCTCAGTCTCCGAGCGAGACTGGGTGGTGCAACCGCCCCTGACAAGCGGTGGAACCGCCTGAGCTCGGTCTCCGAGCTCTGCCAAGCAGTGTAACCGCCCCTGACAGGAGGTGGCACCGCCTAGAGGCTCAGTCTCCGAGCTCTGCCAGGCGGTGCAATCGCCCAAGTCAGGTGGTGCAACCGCCAGACCCCGGAAATCCGGGAGGTGACATTTTTTAGCTCCAAATTCAAACCAATTTAGGGCCTATATATATCCCACCCTTTACTGCATGAAAGGATAACTAAAGGAACCGAAAATCCAATCTTATTCTGTGATTTTTAGAGCTCAAAAGTGTTGTAAAGGCTAGAAGTTCTCCTCCCTCTTTTCTTCCAAGTTTTGAGCTTTCAAGAGAGGAGAGAAATTCTGTAAGGGTTATCTCCTAAGCCCGTCAAAAGGAGTGAAACTGTAAAAGGGTGGTTGGCCTTCGCCTATTGAAGGAAGGCCTCTAGTGGACATCGGTGACCTCGTCGGAGGAGGAAGCCAAAAGTGGATGTAGGTCAAGATTGACTGAACCACTCTAAAATTGTGGTGCTCTCTAGTTTGCATTTATTCTTCTGCTTACCTTATTGCGAACCTCTATATGTGCTTTACTTCCTCTTTACTTTTGCTGCACTCCTTTACCAACTCGCTTTCAAGTTAAGTTTCCGAAAACGGTTTTACGTCGGAAACGATTTTATCGTACGAATGCAGTTTTAAACGTCGAAAGTTTTTCGCTACACTAATTCACCTCTACCCCCTCTTAGTGCTCTTGATCCTAATAGACACACCTCAAGGGCGAGCTGGAGGAGAGCCGGTCGCGCGTCCAGACGTTGGACGATGAGCTGCTGACCCTTTCCCATGACGTCAAGACCACCCGATCTTCGGCCTGGGCCACCGAAGAAGTTTTGAAGGAGTGGCTGGCGCTGCCTGGGAAGATAAAGGAGGCGCTTGCCGAGTACAAGTCATCCGTCGGGTTCGAGCGCGGCCTGGTGAGGTCTGGGCGGGTGACATACGAGTTCATGTATCATGTAGCCTATGCTCGCTTTCGAGCAAGGTACCCAGATCAAGAACTGGAGCCAGACCCGTTTGTCAACCGGCCGGAGGACCAAAATGTTGACATGCCGGCGAGCATCCCCTTTGATGATAGGCCCGAGACCCCCCCTCGGAGCTAGGGGCTATTCTTTCTCCCTTTCCTTTTGTTTTGGTCAGGTCGAATTTTGAAATTGTATCGCCCGACCTTGATGTGTATATGCCTTTATCAATGAAAGGTTTTATTTTGTAATTCTGATTTCTCGTCTTCTTGTACTGTGTATTTAGATGCTTCCTTCGGGGAGGCTCGCCCCTCGGTATTTACGGATAGAATTTCTTCAAATTCATCACGTTCCATGTCCTCGGTAGAGGGGCTCCTTCCATGGTCTCGAGTCGGTAGCTCTCGTTGGTCGGGCCTTCTGCGTGGTTGCATCGGGGCTGTCGTGGTCATCCCATGAGATTGTTCCACCCTTGGCCTTTTCCCATCCATGCATTTTCCCGCCACTAGAGCTTCGGTGGCGACGTACTAGTTCGCTCCCTGAAGCATCTCGGGGACGATTGCTGGCGGCTTCTCGACCAGCGACCAGAAGAGCCTTGAAAGCTTCAAGCCCATTAGGAACGCCTGCGTAATTAAAGAGGGGTTAGCATCCGGGAATCCCCGGATTTCAGCGACGAAGCGTGCCACAAATTGGGAGAGCGACTCGTCTTCGCGTTGGGACAACACGAGTAAAGCAGCCATGGAAGGCCTGGGTCGCATGCTGGTGAGGAAATTCTGCTCGAACTCACTTGCGAGCTGGTCGAAGGATGAGATCGAGGAGGGGCGCAGCCGACTAAACCACATTCGGGCTGGTCCCCTGAAGGTGGTCAGAAATGCGTGACACATTAGGGCATCAGATGTGTCGTAGAGGGCCATCTGAGCTCGGAACGCGACGACGTGCTCCGTGGGGTCGGATCCGCCATCATATGCCTCCAATGCTGGTAACTTAAGGTTGAGGGGGATGGGGTTGTCCCGTATTTATTGAATGAAAGGTGATCCGCCTGAGCTGCCTTCGCCCGCCTCGCCCCGTGACTTCCGGAGCTCGCGTTGGAATTTGTCCAAGCGGTGGTTGATTCGGGACAGCTGGTTCCTGAACGAATCATCTGCTGAGTAGAGCAATCCAGTCGTGTGCGGGAGTGCCCTACTTGGGTGGGCCTCTTGGGTCCGCCATGTGCTCACGTGCTTCACCCGTCCCGACTTGCTCCTTACTCGGCCCTTGGAGTACCGGCTCGATCGAGGGAGCTGCTAGTCGGACAATCTGAGGAATGAGGGGTACGAGGGTCTGCATCATCCCATCCATCACTTGCACTTGCTTAGTCAAGCTGAGGAACGCCTCGGGTGGCACGACCGGGGTTCCCGCGGGAAGTCCGGGAGGCGACCACCCTAGGTCATTGAATAGACGCCAGTAGCGATTTGGCATCGTGGCCGGGATCCCCCCGTCTCTAAGACCGGGCAGGGATGGCTCTCCGAGCCCGACAGAGGGGTGATCGACCGTCGGTTCTCCCTCGGGAAAAGCCTCGATGGGATGCTCCTACGACATGGCCCTCCTTCTAGCGCCAAAACGTTGGTGAACAAATATGTCGTGGTTAACGAGCAAATCAGTTGTTAGTGAAATTGTTTTCTCCCCGTGGGCTGGATGCTAGTCAGAGATCTTTATACTATTGTTCGAGAGTCGATCGTACACAGGTTGGCGTGGTGGACATGCCAAACGGTGTCTTGGTACGGATTTTGACTTGTCGTGTCTTGGGGGCGGTGTCGTCTCGGGATTCCCGAGACGTACCAAGCAGCGACTTGGTACGGATTCTGATCTGACGTATGACACCAAGTGTGACGTGTCTTGGACCCAGAATAGACCTTATCAGTATGCATTACCGATGATGCTTGTTAGGTAGAAACACACAAACTATCGACAAGAACTGATGCTTCACTCAACAACAACACTGTTCAAGTCGAGCATAGAGAATGACAAAAAGTTGATGGCTGCCGCCGTCATCTCGGTGCATCGAACACTCAGCAGCAACATCGTTAAAGGTCAAGCATTTTAGGTGCACGTCTCTGTTACATGAAAGATTGACGGGGACACATAGTAGACTGCAATATGATCCACGCACTTTGAGCAATTAATGATATCGTGTTTGTCACAATTTGAGCACAAACGTCATGCGAGACGATATCTCAAACATGAGTGCAAGAAAGTTACTGTTAGAATGAATTATAGCCACCGATCAATCATAGATATGATATGTGTACGATAGAATATACTAGCAAACTGATGTATGTCGTTTATTTAATTTTTCTCATATTACTTACCGTCCGTATCGAATGATACATTGTGATATGATGAATCTTGATTATACGATTAGATAAATCAATTAATCATGTCATACAAATCTTACTTAAAAGCATAACCATTAACATACTTTGGATTTATATGTTCTCCTTTGTCTTTTTCTTTTCTATATCTATTATTACACATGCAAACTTACACGTTATTTGTAGGAAATAAACTAATCATGAATTTTTTTTTAGAATATCATTAGCAAAATTAGGTAGATAATCGAATCCACTCATATGAATCCTACAAAACTGCATCGAGCTTGTCTCATAAAACTTTCAAAATTTAAATTAGCAAAAGATTCAAAGAATATGATTTGATGTAACTTACTTAGATTAGACATCAGATAATATGTAATATGGGATGATTTGATATGATATGATATGATATGTTATGTCATGATGGGGGACAACTATACACTTGAAGCTTTTTATAATATGTTAGAAGATTGGTAGGAGAGTAAATTATTATTGAAAGAATCAAAGGCATAATTATGGATCTATGACTCATTTGATTATTGGCGACATTTTGTGCTAAATTCGAAATCATGAGTTCACTTGTTATTCTATCTTCTAAGAAATATAACAATCAAACGATGTGATGTGGATAAATTGACACCCACTAGATGGGTGTAATCTAGACGTAATCTAGTCGTCAGTCATCACATTGTTATATTTCCTAAATGGGTTTTAATAATTTTAGGATGTATCTGGGAATATATTTGAAATGTGCATTATGAACTCAATACACATTCCAAAAGTTTGATGCCTGATAATTTTTTTTCAAATCATATTTGGCCTAGAATAGTATTGAAAATACTGATGCTATCTAAAGGTAGCATTAGCATTTCAGCATTTGTAAGATGTTAATATAATATTTTGAATTTTAAAAGTACATATAACTTTTTATAATATTACACTAAAATGATTTAGTGAGAAATCAATATGATTTAATTATTCTATAAGATAAAATTTTATTCTTTTATTTTTTAAAAATATTATATTTATTTTATAATTATATTATATTTATTTATTATATATAGGCCAATATTTTTTCATAAGATTACATATATTCATTTGTTTATTTTATTTATTTAATTATTAATTTAAAATAATATATATATATATATGTACTTTGAATAAATATTAAAAATATAATAATAATAAAATTATTATAAAAATTATATTCTCCGATCTATTCTCCAATTACATATTAAAAATATAAATATATTTTCAAATATAACATTAATTAATTTAATTGATTGATCCATTTAATAGTTAAGTTTTTAATTCTAATTATTATATTTCTTAATTATTGCTTTTTACAAAGGATTCCGACATAATAGGATGTGAATACCTGTAACCACACCGATGGTGATTCTACTGCAACAAATAAGGATCCGGCTCACGCCTAAGCTTAAGAGATCGCATTCGGCTTGCTCCTCAATCGGGGCTGAGCCGAGAAGCCATAACGGGCTGTGCCGAGATGCTATAACGGGCTGTGCCCAAACAGCCCGTTAATAGCTCTGTCAAATCACCGTATGGCGGATATAAGCTTATTCTAGTCCACAACAATTCTCTTCCTCCATGGCTTCCGTCTCCTCCTTACCCGCCTTCGCCATCTCCGACTACCGCACCCGCAGCCGCGTCCCCGCCCGAAGCCGATCCTCTCCGAACTCCGGAATTTCCGGTCCCGGCGCCGGTCTAGATAGCCTCGGCCGTGCCGCCGCCTCTTGCCGCCGCTTGAATCCGTGGCACCGCCGCGGTGATTGGAATCTCGGCCCGGTCCGGGCGGAATCGCATGATGTCAAGAAGACGGAGCGGGAACCGATGGTCCCCCCTTATAATGTACTCATCACGGGTTCGACCAAAGGTCATTTTTTTGCTTTCCGGCGTTCTTAATGATTGGAGTTGTTATGTTTAGTTATTTTAATTTTATTTATCTGTGGAGGGTTACATTTTTTATGGAAAATGTTATATGAAAAATGCTAGATCGAGTTTTTGGTTTCAGGATTAGTCTATTGGTCTAAATTTAGTGACGTTTTCCGTAGTAGTCTTTTCGTAGAGGCTTCCTTGGTTTGTTGGACGAATGGTGATGTGATTTGTTTTGTTTTGTATTCTTAGATAGTAGTGAAGATGCTGTTTTTTATTGTTAGTTTTTTTACTAATTTATAGAGTCCACAATGATGATTATAACTTTTAGCTTCCTCAATGTTGTGGTTTTATTGCATGTTGAATATTAACAATTTGATAATTAGGCCTGACTTCGACAGCAGCAGCACTTCTAGTAATCTAATACTTATGGTCCTATGCAGTCAGATATCAAACAGCAGAAATGGTGCAGCTCATTTGTATCTCTTAGGCTTTCTTGTATCAACAATTGGCTGTAGATTCACAGAATTTTTTAAAAACGCATTGCATAGACTGCATAGCTTATAATAAAAAGTAAGATATTCAAGTTTCATAGTCAAATTTATCTTGTTAGTGGCATAGGAGGGAGATATCCTCAGTGTTATGATCATATACATTTATATGCTTTTGAGTTTGAAGTGTTAAGATAGAAACCTTATTTTACTTGGGTGCAAAGCTATCTTCAGTAACACCTTATTGCATTTTGGTCTATCTAAACAATCGAACATCTTCGCCCTTCTGATTACCGCCACTACCAAACAAGTCAAACTTCTGGCAGTCACCATGGAGGTAAAGGGTCGGACATTAATGAATCACTGAACAGGGAGAGGCATGGACTGATAATTTTTCATACTTGGATTCAACTTCTTGCTTCTACTTGATTCTGTCCTCTGTTTCGGTAACTGCATTTTTGTTACTCTTTTTCTTTTTCCCAAAGAAAGATGAAAGTATATTACTTCATTTTTGTTACACTGAAATACCATGATTCCTGCGCTGTGTGCAGGAATTGGATATGCACTTGCAAGGGAATTTCTAAAGGCAGGTGATAATGTCTTAATATGCTCAAGATCAGGTATTGAGTTGCAATTGAGAAAACAAACATATATTGACTCGGGCTCCCGTTATATTTGACTAATTAATATTTTCCAATAGAAAACTATCTATTAAATTGGTTTTGGCTGATTGATGGCATCTTTCGGTGCTTTTGGACATTGTGTAATGATATTAAAGCTGTTACTCAGATAAGCTGACCCTCTGCAGTTGAACGTGTTGAATCAGCAATTCAGAGCTTGCGCAAGGAATTCGGAGAGCATCGTGTGTGGGTACCCACTGTTGAGCTCCTCTTGTTCCTTTTTCTCCCACTGCCGCACCTTTAGTGATGACAGTGCTTCATGGTATCTAATTAGGAAGCCATAAGATGCTATCTGTCATTTCAGGGAACTGCATGTGATGTCAGAGTAGCAAAGGATGTCAAAGCTCTGGTTGCTTTTGCACGTGAAACAATTGGTTACATTGATATATGGGTATATAATTTTGCCAGACATTGTCATTGCATTATATTAGAAATTAAATTCTTATCTGATGACATTTTCCACATCGTTACAGTTTTCTATTATGAAAAGGAATACTGTGTTTGGTATAGAAGATATAATTTGGCAACTTTGTTAGATGAACATTGTTATTGCATTGTATAACTTCAGTGCAAGAATCATAAACTCTGCTTTTCAATTATATAAAAGGCAATACCTCACATAAATGGTATCAATGTCATTATGATCAAACAAAAATAGAGATCATTGGATATGGGATGGACAATAAAATTTTCTCCAACAAATCTTGACATTAGATATGGAATTGTGCTGTTATTCTGTTGTCTGGGTTACTATGGTAAGCTGGAAATTCTTAAAAGAATTAGAAATATGGATGTCATGTTTGTGAACCAATATGGTTTTTCTTCTATAGACTAAATGTGCCAAGGAGACTATCAAAATGTCTCCTTGTTGCCCCTTACAACAAGGATGTATTTATTGCTAGCTCTTGTAGTTTTAAACTTTCAAATGATTTACTCTTTTCTATACCTTTTCTTTTCTTTTCTGACTCATTCATCGTCTTCATAAAATGAGTTTGAGCTCTTGCTATTCTTTTCCATAAAAGATTTTTAGGTTTGAATGGCTTAATCTGGCAGTGATTAGCATCTGTAATTCCGCTGTCATGTCTCAGTTTTTTGTTCCTGATATGCTGCCATTATCCAGTGCTGCATTGTACTATGTTGTGCCAGCACAAACTTGGCCATGTGCCACAGTTCATTATCATAATTCTTGTTGGGGTTACAATCCTACGGATACATGCTGGTTTGTTCTGGACAAGCATTTATCAACATGGATTGGCATGTGTCAGCAAAGGTTTGCTGCAAATATAGATAAGCACTATGGCTTCTTGAACTTCTCCTGGAGATAGGATGTTGTCTGTTTTACGCACAGAAGCTTACTGATAATTATTTGACTTCAGCATTTTTTTTAACCAATATATCCTTCTAAGATGGAGAAATAATACAGATTAACAATGCTGGATCAAATGCATACAGTTTCAAACCATTGGCTGAAACTTCTGATGAGGATCTTATGTAAGTGTTGCTTTGTAGCAATCAAGAACCTATCAGATTTTTTATGTTGGATAATAGTTCTAAACATTAATGCTTCTAATTAATTTATATTATGCTAAGGGAAGTTGTCACCACAAATACTCTTGGTTTGATGATTTGTTGCCGTGAGGTAATGATCTTATAATAGTATTGCTCGGATTTCATCTTTTTGGCACATAGAAGCTGGTTTTCCTGCAGCATTAATAAGTTGATGGTGTTGATAGGCAATAAACATGATGCTAAACCAGCCTCGAGGTGGTCATATATTCAACATTGATGGAGCAGGTTCAGATGGAAGGCCAACACCACGGTATCTTTTTTTCTTCGTTTTCCTGCTTTTGTAATAATGGTGCTATTATAATAAGTAGGCCTTTCAACTGAGAAGTTCATTCTTCTTTTGGGTGCAATATGTTGACTATATTTTCTTTCTTCAAATCTATGTCCCCCTTTTATTATCATTAGGATCTTTGTCAACATTTTTCTCTAGGCTAGCATTTGTCCATAACTGTTGAGAACTGCATTCCAGTTTCATCTCTATTTATTTTAACAACATTTCAAATCTGTAATCTTTTATATTCTTTTGCTTGTTAACAATTTCCGAGAACATATTATAAATTTTAGTGCACTTATAATATGTTCTCTGCTTGTCTTTTCGCACAAATTTTGTGTTGCCTAATATGTGAATTCTGAGAAAGTCATTCTTTTTTCCTTCCATATCTTTGACTTATGTTCTGTAACAATTTGGCAGAAGAAGTTCCATCATTAAAAAAAGGATCATTTTCTGTATTATTTTCCTATCTTGTTTCTTTTATGTTGATCCTGTATGTGTTTAGAAATGTCTCTGTAGGATGCTTATATTTACCTTGTAAGATATATTGAATAGTGGATGTATGCTTACATGAAATTCTGTTCTGTTATCCAGTCATTATATTATGTCCTCAAATGATAAACATTGAAGTGACTTTACAAATACCATCTTATGTATTATCTATAGGTGTTTATGATTTGTTTACAGATTTGCTGCATATGGTGCAACCAAGCGCAGTGTTGTGCACCTTACAAAGTCCTTGCAGGTAATTATTATTGAAATGAGTGAATTAATGGTTCATCTTATATGTATAGGAAGTACCTTGAGATTTTGTGTGAGTTTATTGTAGAACATGTTTAATCATAACAAGTACAAGTTTTTACCCTTATCCAAACTTTTAGAAAATTTAAATTAGCTTAGCTAGTAAAGATCTGGTTGTTCATAGTAAAGATTTGGGGTTGAATCCCACCTTCATCACTTAGCCAAATTTTGAAGGTGCTGATAAGTGTAGCTGGTAAATTCTTTGCTGTTAATTCCCAGCTTTACACTTTCCTCTAAAGAGAATACATGTTCAATCATGTCACAACTTTACTAATTGTACCTTCGACAACGATTAGGACTGATGATTTGTGGGTGGGCTGTTGCAGTATTCCCATCAGTTAACTATAATGTTAATGTTGTGGATAAAAATTTCGTGTATCACTGGATCTTGATGTGCCTTGTACAATTGGTTCTTTTGCCAACCTCTCAGTCAATTCCAGATTCTAATTGAAAAAGTCAATGTGCAACTTTGTTGTGTCTCATTGTACTTTAGTGCTATTATAGTTGGCCATATGTGCTATGGCTGTAATCCTTGTAACATTTTTGACATTCTTCCTTTGTGCATCAAGATACAAGTAGTATTTTTTCTGCAAAATCTCTACATGGCTATTTAGCTGTAGCACAAAAATGTCTTTGGATCTTAATAAGGTTTGTAGAAATTTTTGTTGTGCATGAAATTTGACCATGAATAACTTTAGATTCCTTCCAATTTCCTTTAAATGTGTTATTTATGCTAAGGCTGACAAAGGTATTGTCTATGCTCTTTTAATATGGTAAACTTATGATTGGCCTTGCTTCATTCTTCGATCAGATTTTGTTGATTGCTAATAAGTTACAATAGTTTATGGTTCCCTATGCTTTTTGTGTTCATGATGAAGCTACAAGCAATCCTAATGTTGTTTGCAACTATATTCCAGGCAGAGTTGCAGATGCAAGAAGTGAAAAATGTTATGGTGCACAACCTGTCGGTAATGGATTGTTTGCTGTTGTTCACATTCATCAAATTGCTTCAACTATATAAATTTTATCTACTTCGTTTTCTTGTCAAAGTTTGGTTTAATGGTTGTGCTTTTAAACCGACTGAAATCAATTTTCCTTGTCATCCATTTGATATGGTGCCTTTTTGCAGCCTGGTATGGTAACTACTGATCTTCTTATGTCCGGAGCCACAACAAAACAGGTATTATATTCACTTGTAAATTTATATGTGGTTTTCCAATGTCCCAGCTATTGGTTCTGCTCTAACATAAACTCAAATTACAGGCCAAATTTTTTATCAATATATTAGCCGAGCCGCCTGATGTGGTAAGGACTGCACTAATCACTTCTGTGTGATGGCATGATGCATGCTTTATTGGAGTTTGAAAGCAAACAAGATAGCATACATTTATGAGTCCAACCTTTAGCCTTTTCTGCTGGTCATATTTTTAAGGTTGAATGACAAATACTTCAATACCTTAATTTGGTGAGTTTGAATATTAAATCGATCTTGAGTCATCAAATGATGATCGACCATTAGATCATATGTCTACTGGCTGTTACCCAAATCTGTACGAATCAGTGTTCCAGTTTAGGTGAATATGTAACTACTCCAAGGCACACTATTTTTTTCTGTTCTTATCCCTTCTCTTTCTTTACTGCTATTTCTGGCATCCTCAGTTGATGCTCCAGCAACTGAAGTTTTAGTTTAGTGAATACTTTCCTTATGATGACTATATATTTTCCTGCAAAGAGAACTTACACCTGTGATGTTTTATGATCTTGCCAATCTAGCTGCTAGTTACTAGTTCAAAATTTTCATTTAGTCTAGAGATGGAATGTTCGAGGTGATGGATCTCTGTGGAATAATTCACTAGTTTTTTATCAAGTGGAATATTTTTTTACAATATCTAATTTAAAAGAAAGGAATCATGCAATACATCAACGAGTGTGGGCTCGTCCCTAATCCAGTATGGTTTACAGTTTACACTATTAAACCTTCCTGATGAACTGGCTAAAGAATCGATGTATAAATTGTCATTAAGTGCTCGAGGTTGAGAATTAGATGTAAGGCATGTAATACTACTAATTATCTTAACATGCAAAAGAAGAAAATGGTATGGGATACAATTTCTCCAGTTATGCCTTCCTGTTAGGTCCATCCAAATCTTAATTTGAATCAGATTCCCACGAGGGCAGATCCTTGTGGCGGGACATAACAAGCACAATTTAAAATATCTTTAACGTACCTCATGCTGATATTCATTGACCTGCAGTTTGAAGAGTTCTCTACATCATTTGGCTCCACATAAATAGAAAAACCAAAGTTTCTCAGAGGTCTTATCTGAATTCTCTATAGGTTTGATTTAGTTAGGAAAAGGTCAATCTGGTCTGTTTTGACATAACTATGGTCACATGTATATTCTCCGGTATCATGTCGGGGTTGGCTATTTTGTGAATCTAACACACTGAAGTAAGGGAGGCACCATCCGTGTTGTTGTGATTTGCTTGTTTAAGCCACTTTTGTTATTAGTCTATTGTATATTTTATGTTATCTAAATTTTATGCTTATGGTGCTAATAGTCGTACCAAATATTTCTCCTTTTGCAGGTTGCTGCATTCCTTGTTCCATCCATCAGATCAGTCCCTAGCAGTCAATCCATGAAGCCCACCTACATTCGATTTCTCACGGGCTTCAAAGCTTACTCCCAAATCTTTTCAGTTAAGAATTCTGTTCCTTGTTAAAATTCGTTGATGCTAATATTCCTGTTACAGAATAAGCCGAACTGATTGATTCATTTATCGTATTTGCTTCTTGCATCTAGAGACTTGCTTTCGGTGCACGACGGAACAGATATCTCGTCGAAGATTGAATGACTTGGCTAGCTTGTAGGTTATAATTTTGTGACAAAAAGCTTTTAAAATCTGTAATGCAACATCCTTTCGTGAAGGATTCCGAAGTACGCTAACCATTTATTTTGATTGAGTAAACTATTGTTTGTGCTGCTTGAAGGTGCCCTTACCGATCTGTCGGCGTAAAAAGAACAAGTAGCGGAACTGCACACTTCTGCAATTGTTTGATTCGGTAAAGTATTTGAATTTGCAAAATACTTTGAAAGCCAAATCAATGCAAGTGTACCAGCATCTTGTAGGGAGATTTCTCTAACCCCAAGCTTAAGAATGATCCTCTCAGGGAAAAAGCAGCACCTCAGTATCTAAAATGTAAATTCCCAGTGTTCATGTCAAATCAATGTAAGTACTCTGTTTACAAAAGTTAGGTTTGGTGAGTGATGGCATATTTCAAATCTTGATAATGTTAATTTTTTCTGCAATCATTCATCACTTTGCTAATACAATCCACATTCGTGTTTTAAGATGCTTAGATGATGATCAACTATTCGGATACCTAAATGTCATGCTTTCTCAATTCTCCATTTTGCTTCATTGTCGATACTACTATGGATCGAAATATCATATATCGTGATCGTGGCACCGATCTATCAGCATTTATTTGAGATCCGTAGAATCTCTTGGATTTCTTTTAGAAATTTGATGGATCTCAAATGAGATCAAGAACGATATATAAAATGCATCACGTGCTTCACTTGGGTCAGAAAAATGTGTTAGAATAACGTTAAATATTCCTTAGATGTTGGCATTCCTTGGCGTCCTCCCCAAGTCATTTTGACCGGCCAAAACCTTCTTCTCCAAGCATGATCTTATGACCAAAAGAGGATACATCTCTCTATATATGTGCTCGGATGGATTCAAGAGTGGGCCGTGAAGAGAGTGATACAGACATGGGAGAGGCGAAACAAGTGAAGTTGTATGGCTTCTGGCTCAGCCCTTACTGCACGCTGGTCCATCTTGCTCTTAAGCTCAAGGGGGTGGCCTATGAGTACGTGGAGGAAGACCTCACCAACAAGAGCGCCACGCTTCTGCAGCTGAACCCGGTGCACCAGAAGGTGCCGGTTCTTGTGGTGGACGGGAAGCCGGTGGCGGAATCGCGTGTGATCTTGGAGTACATCGATGAGACGTGGGCGGAGCCTTCCTTCCTCCCCAGTGATCCTTACTCTAGGGCTAGGGTTCGCTTTTGGGTTGATTTCTTCTACCAAAGGGTAAATTAACGTCTTATTCTTTGCATCTCAGGATACGAGTTTTTCGAGTTCTTTTGGCGTTTAGGACTCTTTATGGAGTTGTTCGTTCTTCTTTCTCTTGTCTCTACCATCAGATCTCCCAGGAGGAAAGTATTAGCCAACTCAGTTAGGAAGTCATGAAACCACTGTTCGTAAGCCACAGAACAATTTATGTCTACCAAGAGAATGAGAGATCGATCTCATAGTCTGATATTTAGAATATATGAGAGTGATATTGATAAGGTCTTAATGTGTGTAGTTTTACCTCACTCGAACTCTGATCTCCAAGTCGCAAAGGAGCAACATTTCTGCTCTATCCAGATTACATTTCTGCTCTATCATCATAAATCAACCAGCTTAAACTCTTATATTGTATTATAGCTAATGTATGCTTTCTCTGATTACATACCTTTTTGTGGTTTTGGGGATTGCAGATGGTGCCTCCTAGTTATGCCATTATACGTTCCCAAGGAGAGGAACTGGAGAAGGCAACAAAGGAGTTCATCGAGGTACTAAGAATACTGGAGAAAGGAATCATGGAGGACTTCCCACGGAAGAAGGGGCCATTTATCCATGGCAGCTCCCCTGGTCTCCTTGACATAATTGTAGGTGCAGGCAATCCAGGAACGAAGGCCATCGAGGAGGTGGCTGATGTGAAGCTATTTAACGAGGAGATGACACCACAACTCTACTCCTATGTTCATGCGTTTCTGAGCCTTGACCTTGTCAAGAACACAGTGGTGCCTTACGACCAAGTGTTGGAAGCTATCAAGGAACGCAGAATGATGGCTCTCTCTTCTTCTAAAGAATAGACAACATGGTTTATAGGAAGAGTGATTGCTGTTGTTCTATCGAATGCAATCTGTTTCCGCAGTGTGACTGTGTATTACCTAAAAGAAATTGTCTAAACATCACTTGGAGTTTCTTGTGATGTGTCTGTACTCAGCAAAAGATCATCCACCAAATAAAGTGACAAGATTAGTCCCTCTCTCCCATGCCGACCACACGGACGAGTGCTCGACTTCCTCGGCCGGACATCCCCTCCGCCGGATTGGAACCTCTGCAAATTTTTGGTGTTATCTGAATTGTGTGTGTTCTACTTAATTCACCAGAAAAAGATAATGGGAGCTCTGTGAAGAAAGGGAGAGTCAAAAAAATATGCCAGAGGAATACAGCATCACTATTGTTCACTGATGACCGCTGTAGGTTTAATTATGGGGTGATCAGCAATACTTTACCAAGGAATTCCTCACAGATGAGTTTGCCCATAACACAAACATATGAACATCATAAGATATCATATGATTGCATCTTACCTGAAGAAAAGAACCTATGCAAGTCATAATAATGTGACATTTCAAATATTTTATACAACATGGTACTGAGATGTGATCCACCCTTTTTGGAATAAACAATCATAAACCTTAATCTACGCTTACAGACATGTGGTCAACGAGCAGTATCCTTAAACTCATGGGTCCAGATAGCTCTAGAGATCATAGTATAACCTGGTACTTAAGTGGAAGTATATATTCCATGTAATCAAGATTTCCAATAGACAAACCAGAAAAGCAATTCATTTGAGCTGAAAGGGAAAAGGGAAATCCACACAATTGTGTTAGATTTCAAAAGAGCCTCACGGAGAAGCTTTTTGGCATTGCCAATTCCACTCAGATGAGCCACAAAAATCAAAGGTTAAGACTTTATAGCCAAAAAGAAGATTAAAACAAAAGGCAGATTGGTACTTTTCCTTTTCCTAGTGGTCTCAGTTTCACATGGATCAAACTTGGTTAGATTAGATGCTCAAAATAGTTTCTAGGAATTCTTTTCATGTTGCTGCCTATGTGCCTTCTTCAGCACCGGAAATTTTCATCAGGTTTCTGCTTTACCCTGCAAGAAATGTTAAAGATTTGCTTTTTGTTGCACAACATCAGTAATTCTCTGAAACCCAATTGCAGGAGCAAAGACTGAGACGATCAGCATGCAATCGGTGAATCACATGGGATGCTATATGTATAATTTCACAGCCATGCAGGAGGATTACAGCATCGTAGTCGACCTGCACAAAGATCAGCATGCTGCTAAAGGATTTCTTACAGATGAATCCATGTTTCTTATTGAAATTATTAGATTTCAAGCTTCTATAACTACACACGATCACATCTTGCATCCAAATTTACTACCAAATCACGCACAACATCAGCAGGCCATGGGAGGAAGATCACCCTTGAGGCCGTCGTTGTCGGTCGGCTGCAGCGGCGTCTTCCGGAACACCGAGCTGCCGAAGAGAAGAAAACCGACGGCGTGACCGACGACGGCGGCGATCAGCACGCCCCCGTTGAACGACATGACCGCCAGCATCACGAGGTAGGCGAGCCCGACTCGCGCCGCGTGCAGCGTCGTCCGGGCGAGCCCGGCGGCGACGTGGCCGGTCCCGGGCCTGATGAGACGGCAGTGGTTGAGCCACTCGACGAGGAAGGAGAGGGCGAAGACGAGGAGGAGCGCCAGGGCGTACATGCCGCCTCTGGTGCCGGGCCATCCCGAGAAGAGGATCTCGGAGTTCTTGCCCCAGAAGAAGGTCATGTGGGTGTAGTGCCGCTTGGCCATGTTGGAATTGTTCATGCTCATATCCCCCATCCCGCCGTGGTCCATGGCCTGAATCCTCCTGGTACGCACCTCGTCGTCGTCGTCGTCGTCGTCGGAGGTATTTTTAGTATTGAGGAGGAGGAGAACGACGATGAAGGGAAGCTTTAATGTCCTTTTGGACAGGCGTGAGGAGTACTTTGCATGCAGTACAAACACCCAGAAATGGTCGTACAAGTCCGGAAGCAACGGCCGTGTTGGCACCGCTGCGATGTGACGGAGATTTTTGCTTCGGATTAGTCAACAAAGGAGGCAACATTTGGGACTACGTGGCCGAACAAATTGTCCGGACTTGGGTAGAACCTGGTCAAAGTCAAATACTAATCTTTTCGATCTCCTGTAGCCATATATATATATATATACATATATATATATATATATATATACATGCATATATATATATACATATATATATTAGAATAAATAATCATAATTTCATCATTTAAAATTACTTTTTCAAGAGACACGTGTTCAACGAAAAAATAATTTCGTTAATATTTAGTTAATTCTATTATGTATAAGAGTGATCGATGTGGGAACATAACAGGATATTTTCTTGGCATTTAAATAAAAGAGGGTCTGATTTTATTTGAGTTTTTTTGTGAGGGGGAAAATAATATCTTCACTCATAATAATTCCTCCACAATATTTCCATTCCACTCAAATAATTCCTTGATAGCTCTAAAAAGAAATATGCTTTCAGAAGTTACAAATTTATTTATTACTGATCAACACCACGTCATAAGGGTTCGATCTACGTCGACATCTAACTCAATCGACAAAAGACTTTCGACATCGATCCGTGGATCAAATCGTACTGACTCATCAATAATATTTGATAATTATATTAGTATACTTAATATAATTATCAAATCGGTACATCTATTCATCAACAATATTCAATAATTATATTAGTATACTTAATAAATAATTTTTTTAGTATTTGGTAAATTTTGATGAAAATAAAAAAGAATTATAAAAAATCGCATAAATATTCTTAAAATAACAAATGAAAAATGCTCCCCTTTGCTCTGGTTGTGGTGGAGCTTTCATTAGCTTCGTCGCACCCACCGTCGCCCTCTTCGTGTCCTCTTCGGCTTAGTCTTATTGCCGGCAATAACTACGCTGCTGCCGAACTGAGACCTTCCGCGGGACCGCCGGGCCGGTCCACCATCACACCGCAAGCAAAGGCGTGCTCCTTCGTCGCCTGCGGGGATGCTTCGCCACGCGCGGCGGCGCTCCGGCTACGGCCCCCAGTTCTGCGCCGCCGCTGCTGCCCTCCTCCTCCTCGTCTCCCTCTCCGTCCTTCATTCCCGCCTCTCTTCCGCCCCCTCTTCCTTCCCTCTCCGCCTCGGCCTCCCCTCCGTCCTACCCCGTCGCGCCCCCTCGGATCGCGACCCCGCTGCCCTCTTCGACGACGCCGACGACAACGCCCTCAACGAGACCGCCGCCGAAGACGACCGGATCGACGAGCTCGACGTGCTTGAGGAGGAGGAGGAGATGGACCGCGGCCGGAGTGCCCAGGAGGAGGAGGAGGGAGACGCCGATGAGCAGGATCCCGACGAGCCAGCGGTCACCCGGACTCTTAGCTCCGGCCTGTTCTGGGATCACGCCCTCGGCGTTGCCCGGAGGCGGTTCGGCCAGCTGGAGCAGGATCCGCGCGGCGACCGCTTCCTTGATTCCTACGATGCCCGTCACTTTCGGACCAAGACCGCGTTCGGGTCGGACGACCAGCCGGTGGATGAGGACGTGCGGCTGAAGCTCGACTCGATCCGGAGGATCGAGGATGCGCTTCTGCTCAAGGCGGGCTCCGGTGACTCGCCTCTGCGGGAGGGGTGGGCGCGGTGGCTCGAGGGGAAGGGGAATTTCCTCCGGCGGGATCGGATGCTCCGCTCGAACCTCGAGCTGTTGAACCCCAAGAACCATCCTTTGCTTCAGGATCCGGACGGGCCCGGCCTGGCGACCCTCACTCAAGGCGATCGGATGGTTCAGAGGGTGCTGCTGAAGGAGATGGAGAGTATTCCATTTAATGTGGGTGGGGGTGGTGAGGCTAAAAGAGCCGACGGAAGAAGAAAACTAGAAGTGGAGAATACGAGAAGGCAAGAGGAAATTCCGGACGGACAGAGGAAAAGAACTACTTCGGAGGAGGAGGAGGGTCGAGTGCATGCCGATGGTCGGCGATGGGGGTATTTTCCTGGTATAGACGCCCATCTGACTTTTACAGATTTCATGGAGCAGTTTCTCGATAGCAGGCGGTGCAAAATAAGAGTTTTTATGGTGTGGAACAGCCCACCTTGGACTTATGGTGTCCGGCACCAGCGGGGACTGGAGAGTCTTCTGCATCATCATTGGGATGCTTGTGTTGTTGTGTTCTCGGAGACAATGGAGCTCAACTTCTTCGAGGACTTTGTGAAGGATGGGTACTGCATTCTTTGTCTAAAACGTGGTGCTTTAAGGCTGGTAGTTTAACTTAAGCATTTAGAATAAATTTTCTTGTTCCTTGTTGGTCCCTACCTCTCTTCATCACTGTCTTCCTTACTTTCCCCCTTCCTCATAACTCCTTATCCTGCTTCCAAGGTTTCATTTAATTTCTTAGTGGTTAGTGACAATACATGACATTTTGATATCAGATTTTGTGAACCACATTCTGCTGAACTGAGCCAAGGACTCCTTTTAATGCTAATGCCTAATGGCAGGGTATACAAGTTTTCTAAAAAACTGATCTTTTTTTCTTTCTCAATGCATATTGCGCACATGTAAATGCAAAAACTGAAGATGATGTCCAATTGTATTTGATCTTTATTAATCCCTCATTGCTTTGAGTAATAGGTAGGGATGTGAGGACTCTCGTATCATGATTGCCCTGGTTAAATGCTGTTAACGAGAGTATCGATGTGTTGGTAATAACATCCAGTATTGACTAAAAAGTAGGTTTTTTAAACAAAAAATATAAGAATCACATAGTGCATATGCCTAGGTGGTTGACCCTATGAATTTGTTGTATTTGCAATAAATTAAGGTTATGTGATGAATGACATATGAACTTTTGCTGTTATAAGTAAGTTGAATTTTTTACCATGATTTGTGCTATGAAATAATATATTCTCCTTTTTCTCTTCACATTGTTAAAGATATTTATGCTCCATCAAAATTAGACTTCTAGAGTTAAATTTAAACAGTTCACAAATGTCTCTGTTAGAAAATTCATGTTGTAACTTGATGTCTGGCATACAGGTTTAGAGTTGCAGTTGCCATGCCAAATCTTGATGAACTTTTGAAGGACACTCCAGCACATATTTTTTCATCTGTATGGTTTGAGTGGAGGAAGACATTACATTATCCCATTCATTATAGCGAGCTATTACGTCTTGCTGCTCTCTACAAGTAAGTTGCCAATTTTGTTTAAAGATTTATCCTAAACTAAGGTCCTAATATTTGTTTGCTTGTTGTAGTACATTTTTGTGGATAGAAACTTCTCTGTTCTTTCTTTCTAGGTCTTTTCTCATGTAAACGGAATTCATTTCATGCAGAAACTTGGAAAGAAGACAGCATACCCACTAAATTTTAAATCTGCAGATCCATACCTTTTGGTTGTTTGATTGCCTAAATTTTAATATGTAAATGGATTTTATACGAGTTAATTTAAGGCATCAATTATGGATATTAGCTAGGCCATTTTGCCTCACAATTCTTGTTTGATCACAAATATCATATATGCTAACTCATCAGATAATTACTTCTAAACAAATTATTCTCTGATAAATATATATATATATATATATATATATATATATA